CCCCCCCTCCCTGCCGATGAGGTAGGCGATGAGCACCACGAGCACCAGCCCTGCCAGGGCGCCGCCCACAGCGATGGGGATCAGCATGTCGTTCTCGTCCAGCAGACACTCCTCCACTGTGGGGACAGTGCCGCACGGGCCACGGCCGTCAGCCCGGCCACGGACGCCACGCCCTCCCCCGTGCTCCCTCCTCGGTCAGCTGGGCGGCACAACCGACGGCCGACGGCCGTCGGCGTGGACGCGACCCGTCAGGACTGCACCCAGGCCTGGCCTTCTGCGGCCCTGAGCAACAGGTCACCGTCAGCAGCCCCAAGGAATCGCTGCGACTGTCTGCAGCACGGCTCCAGAAGGGGCACGTGCCCTGCGGTGCGAGACTCATGGGCCTTCTGAAAGCGGGCACCTCTCCAGCCAGGAGGCGCAGAGGAGGTTCTTCCTGGTGGGCGGGGAAGCCGTGCCCCACGCCAGCACTAAACGTCCAAAAGGCCCCCACTGCCACCACCAGGGCCATGCACCCCGGAGGCCAAGCACTCACCAGATCCGAACTTGTCTCCTTCCACCCTGAAGGCCTGGACCCACACCTTGAAGACGTTGACGGAGAAGGCTTCTGTGACCGGCAGGCGCTCCTCGGCGCTGCACCTGTACGAGTTGCCCAGCGAGGCCTGCAGGGCTCGCAGCGAGCTGTTGGCGGCTCTGAAGGCGGGCTCTGCAACACATGCGCGAGTCTGAGACTGGGGGCCCTGGGGGCGGGGCGGGGCCATGCAAGCTGGGGCTCACCTTTGGCGTCGCGGAGAGTCATGTTCAGCTGGACTCCTTGCAGGAAAAACCGGCTAGAACTCGCATTCTGAAAGACAGGAAGATGGCCCTCACCCACCAGCTAAGGGTCGGCTCCCCAAGGGCGCTGGCCACAGCCGACCCCGTTCCTGGGACATGGCGGCACAAAGCACAGGAACAGGGACACCGCTGTTCCCGAGCACGAGGCTGGCAGAGCTGAGGCCAGGAGACCGGGCGGCCTTGGTGACGGTAGGGCCACCCGCACACACCCGACTGGCAGGTCTCCTGAAATGTCTGCAGAATACCCGAATGGTGGGAAGGAGGCAGGGGACTGAGAAGCCAAAAACCTGCTGTGCAGGGGACAGGAAGCACACGTGGCATGCCCTCCGGGCAGAGGCACGGGTGCCAGGACCCTGTGGTCCTGCCTCCACTTGCATCCGTGGACACCAGTGTTGGCACAGTGGCCAGGCAGGAGCCCGGCGGCCGGGCCGAGGGTGGGTGAGCGTGGCAGCAGCCCGAGTGGCAGGGGCCCACACGCACCATGCCAAACTGGAAGAGCAGCAGGTCCACGTCCTCGCTGTGCAGCTCCAGGGTCACCAGCTGGGGAGTGCAGCTGCCGCCGGCCGACGTCTTGTTTGGGTTGATGTTGAGCACCTTTGTCACCAGCTGTGTGAGGACAGGGACACCCTGAAGCTCCAGGTCTCCCACGCCCATGGGCGGAGCCCGGCCAAGATGAGGCCACCTCACTGTGCTACAGCCAGAGGGCCAGGCGGGCCAGGCTGGTGCAGAATTCACATGCAGCCCATGTCCTGCAGCACTTCCAGGACACCACCCATCCCCGTGGGAGGCAGAGTGCCAGCCCTCCCAGCAAGCACGGCAGCTGGCGAGTCCTGGCCCACAGCGCGGACTGTCACATCGCAGAGAACAGTGGTCGCCACCTGGTGCTCAGGCCGCATGGCAAGACATCAGCCAGCCTGCAAGGACAGCACGCATCCCCACAGTCGCTCGTGGACTCAGGCCAGGCCCCTCCTGCCCGGCTCTGTCCGAAGTTGTGCCCTACCGTGCTGTCCTTCCGCATGTAGGTGACGTTCAGCTGCAGCCCCATGGTGGCCAGCAGACAGGTGCCGTTGGTGCCGTTCACGCTGTACTTGTCCACGGGGGGGCTCTCGGGCGTGGGTGAGGGTGAGGGGCTGGGCGGCGCAGTAGTTGGGCCTGGCCCATCTTGAGCACACCGTGACTCTGAGGAGACAAGGAGGGGGCAGCTGCCCATGGGAGAGCCCAGGCTGGGCGAGATATCCGGGATCGATGGAGAAGGCACGTCTCTGAGGCCACCGCAGAGCCTGGCCGACCTCCGACCATGCTGACCGGAGCACTCCATGTCCGACAGTGGGCAGCGGGGTCACCTCTCTGACTCATCTCCACTCAGCCTCCAGAGGCACGCAGCCACCAGGCAGCCCACGCCGAGATGGGCCCTCCTACCGTGGGCCAAGAGGAGAGCCAGAGCCAGTGAGGGACCAGCACAGGAGCCCACGCGGCCGGGCGCCACCTGAGACAGGGCAGGCCGTAGCTGCCTTCGGCCCTGCATCTGCCCGTGCCGCGCCAGGAACATCCCAGGGAGGACAGTGGCAGGTCCCAGCTAGGGGACAGAGCTGACACCAACACTTCCCTCAGCCACACCTTGGGTGGCAGCAGACCCATGTGTCCATAAGGGCCTTGGAGTGCCTTCCCCAGCAAACAGGCCAGACAGACCAGAGACAGCGAGGAAGGGGCCAACAGTAACCGGGCCAGCCTGTGAAGGGTGTCCAGCCTGGGGGACGGTGGCAGAGCTTGGCGACACCCAGCCTGAGGTGCTACCAGAAGCCGCTGACACACTGGGGCTGAGCCACGGGGGACCACGCTGACTCGCTGACTGTGCTGGGGCTGAGCCACGGGGGACCACGCTGACTCGCTGACTGTGCTGGGGCTGAGCCACAGGTGATGCCACTGTGCCGGTGGCAGCTCTGCCACGGTGTCAGGCAACATTACAGGATGTGTGACCGTGGGCAGTGGACCCCGACGGGCTCGCCCCCGGTGCCTGCCCTGATGGCCACACCTGAGCTGCAGAAGAGATTGGTGCTGGCTGCGGGTACTTGCAGAGGACAAGCCCTTCCCACAAGTTCATCCTCCTCCCTGGTTTCCACACGACGGGCCCCCAGAGGCCGAGTCGGCAGCAGACATGACCCGCAATGATCGACATGTTCAGAACCCTGAGATCTGGTGGCCTGGGCTGGCACGTGCTGTGGTTAAATGCCAGCTCCCACAGGGCTGAGACAGCGGTTCGAGTCCGGGACCTGGCAGCTTGCTTATCCCTTTCCCTTGCTGTTTCTCTCTGGCCAAACTGAAAAATAGTAACAAGTGGAATTAAACAAGTCATTCTTAAAAATAAAAAATCGGTGGGCCACACACCCTCCGTGCTCCGAGTTAGAGACCAAACCGACATGCATCAACCCAGTACATCCCAGTCCCTCTGCAGACATGGACGCCAGCCTCCTTCCTGCCAGGGCCCGGCGCAGGGGCGAGTACGGCACATGAGATGCACTGACGACGCAGAGCGCCCTGTGGCAGCAGCACACGGTCCCTGAGAAGGCCCTTGCGCACCTCGGCCTTCCAGGGGAGTGTGGGCCGCGTGGCCCCCACACTCAGGCCCCAGTGACGGCCTGGCAGCACGTGATCACGACCGAGGGGTCGAAAAAGGAAGAGCCGTCTCAGCGCCAATCCCTCCACTTCTGCTGTCCCCAGTACGGAAAGGATACTCCCCACTTGGCTAGCAGTGAGATTTATGGTAAGCTCTTAAAATGGTGTTTCTACCTTCGGGAGGACTTTGAGCCACTCACTCGGTCCCTGGGTTCAGATTCAGCCTCCCCCTCTGAGGAGCACCAGGACTGAGCTTTGCACCGTGGGGCCTGGCGTGGACAGAGTGGGACTGTTCACCTGCTGACCTCGGCCTGCAGGCAGAGCTGTACTCAGACCACTTCAGAGCCACGCCCACGCCCACCTGTCCTGCTTTCAACACCGCCAGGGAGAGAGGCCTGTCTTCCCAGCGCACCTTCCCTGCAGAACCAGTGTTAGGTAAATGTCTTCCAAGGAAACACGGGCCAGCCAGCTGGTGTGGTGGTTAGGGCGTCAGACCCCACATGGACAGCATCGTGGTTCCGACTGGACTCCCACGCTCTCAGGACACAGGGCCCTCACAGAGCCTGCCCCGCGCTCTCAGGACACAGGGCCCTCACGGAGCCCACCCGGTGCTCTCAGGACACAGGGCCACAGGCCGGGGCAGCTGTGGGGCCGGTGGGGAAGCTCAGCCCCTGCAGAAGCAGGCTCCCCGTGGGGTCTGTGGATGTCCTGCTGACAGCAGAGTGGGCCCTGGCAGGGCGTGCCGTGGCAGCAGGATGAGGCACTGGCCTCTGTTCCCACCAGACGCTCAGACCCTCCCCGTGCCGCCCTCCGAGGAAAACCTGCCCTCGACCAAGAGCTCACAGGCGCACCTCTCTGCCACGGGCAGGGCCCCCACATAAAACCAGCGAGAACCCAGGTCTGCGAAGGGACGAGGCCTCTGCCTGCAGGATGCCAGGTCTAGGCAGGGCCCGCCAGCGCTGCTCGTGGGCGTCCGCGCTTGTCTCTGGTCCGTGCTGACCCATCGCCACAGGTGCCAGCGGATGCTCCATGCAGACGCACCCCCAGGATGAGATGGGCCCACTCCTTTCCCACCCCAACCCTCCTGCTGCCCGCTCGTCCTGGCGCTGCCAGGTGCCTGGTCTGGTTCCCGCCTGTCGAGAGTGTGTGCCAACCGGCCCCGCTTCCTTGCTGACATTCGCTCGGTCACAGGACACGAAGCGAGGGGGCTCAACTGCTCTGGCTGCTCAGGGCCTGAAGGCAGGACACGCCGACTGTGTGCAGCAGTTCTGAAGCACGCACGCCCAGCGGCCATGCTCCTGTACCAGCTCACACCTCCCCTAGGCAGCACTCCTGGGGAGCACGAGTTACTCCCAGTGATGCTCCAGAATGTGGGGGAGCTCAGGAGAAGCCGACGGCCCTGCTCTGCTGGTGACTGGGCATGGGGGGTGTGGGGACGTGGGTGTAGGCTCAGACTCCACCTAAGTTCCCAGAAGCTGAGCCCTGCCACAGCTGGAGTCGAGGCGGGCTTTGCCACATGCGTCCTCACGGGTCACCCTCGGTGACTTCTCCCAGCTGTGACTTTCAGCTGAGGGAGACTATCTCCAGCCACCAGCCCCCTCCTGTAACTCATGCCACCTCCCTGAGCCCCGTTCCTCCCCAGCTTAGCCAGGACACGTGCGCCAATGTAACCGTAGCTCTAGACCTCGGGGGTCCAGAGGGGGCCGCTGTCTACACCCCTGCAAATACACCGGCTGCAGAATTCCTGAGCTTGCCCTCTGGCCCAACTGAATACTCCACCCTTTCACCAGGATCTTCCCAGCTCCACCCATCCAGGGTGGCGTACCACTGCGTGGAGGGCGCCACCGCACACACCCTCTGCGCATGAGGAAGGGGACCGCGGCCTCTGCACCGAGGAAGCGGGCTGGGGCAGTCCCCCGGTCAGGGCCGCTCTCACCTCCCTTGCTGAAGCTGCCGCCCGAGAGGTAGGCCTGGATGGTGGCGTCACGCAGCACGACCGTCACGTTGCCCGTGTGCACCTGCATGCCACTGACACAGCGGTACTTCTTGTCTATGTCTGCCCCGATGTCGGGGACGGACTCCGCGGTCCGGGTACCTAGGGTGAAACAGTGCTGCTGTACACCGCTCGCTGCGCCGAGTCAGAGTGCCCGCAGGTCGCCCTCCGGCCCAGCTTCCCGCCACCCCGTACCCGGGCCGTTCTGGTTCTCACCGACAGCGCTTGCGTTGGGGAAGATGTGAGCGTCCGACAAGTTGTATGTAAGCCTCATCAGCCGGACGCCGTAGTGCGTTGTGTTCCTTGTGAAATTGAGGACCAGGGTGTGTCCTGGCCCAAAAGCAACCCCGAGACTGGGGTCGGAAGTGTTCTCGTGCCCACACGAGCTGCTGTTCAGGACTTTTGCGCTGGATGGCAGAGAGAAGGTGATGTTCTGGAACACAGGGTCACAGAGAGCCCACTCAGCATGCAGGTCCCTAAAGGGCTCCGAGACACCAGCTAGGAGGTCTCCCAGGCCTGACGGAGACCCGCGTCGCGCCTAGTCCCACCATCAGGGCACACTGTCAGAGTGAACAAGACGCAGAGGTCAGCACTGCGTGTCGGCCACTCGCCGTTTGAAACGGAAGGTGACTCACTCCGAGCTTCAGGGTGGACTGAGTGTCTGTACTGGGAACAACCTCTTCGTTGTGCTTTCGTTTCTGCTAAAGGGCACCTGTGCTCGCCAGGACAGACACGCGGGGTGTGAGACGTCACCCCGGAGGACGGCCACGCCGCAATCCCTCACCAGACCCAGGACTGGACACCAGCTGGCCGTGTGGGGGTGCGGCACCTTTAACCTTCACCACCAGCCCACCTGCGGCCCCACCGCTGCCTTTCACCACAGACGCGCCTAAACAACGTCTTGTTCAACAGAAAAGGCGTTTGCCGCAGAACTGTCTCAACCTATCGGCAGAAATGAACAGCGCTGGGCCGCCTGGTGTCTGTCCACACAAGCTGGACCCTCTAAGTGGACCACGGTGAGGCCACCGCGTGGGCCCCAGAACACAGCATGTCCACCTGCAGTGACAGAGACATGCTTTGTGAGATGAAGCACGCAATGACAGACACTGCCACCTCTACAACATACAGCAACACGCATGACCACTGAGCCACACACACGACAATAAGAGATCCAATGACAAGCGCTTAGACGAGAGCTTTCAGGGAAAAGGTGCCCAGTGCTGTCCTGGGGCAGGGAGCCCAGCACAGCGCCAGGGCCGGAGCAGGCACAGCCGGCACTGTCCCCCACCCAGGCTCTTCGCGCAGCCCTGACCCGCCCTGCCCCGTGCGTGGTGGCGCACGGCTAGAGCTAGTGCTACGGATGGTGAGGGTGTGTGAGTGTCAGCAGAGAAGGAAGTGAGATTTTGGTCCAGGACACGTCTACAAGAACTGTTGAACAGAACATGCACATTGGTGTCCACTAACAGGTAACAGACCCAGGGAGAGACCCAGCCAGGGTGTGCCACTGACCCGGTAAAAACAGGAGACACAGAAAGCCACCATCGCCAGGGAGAGACAGGCATTTTCTGCCATAGGGTACACGTGCTCTCTGGGGGTAAACAGGGAGAGCGAGAAATCACCGCCAGGAGGGTGGGCACACCTCTTGCCCTCCTCCATCCTCCTCTCGGGATTTTGGGCTCGCACACATGTGCCGGTGTGGTTTTTCAAGCATCTGGGACTCAACCTGTGGTAGGCCATGTGGGATTTGGCACCTACTGGTCCCAACATTGAGGTGCAGGGTGGAACGCCCACATTCTGGCTGAACCACGGCGTGCTCACGTGCAGCTGCTGCTCAGCAGACCGCCACGGCTGTTGGTCGGGCACAGGGCACAGGCAGCCTGACCATGCACAGCAGGGCAGCCCAGCAGAGCCTGGCATGGGCCACAGAGCGGTCACAAGGAAACCACAGCACACAGCACAGCACATACTACATGCACACACAGAACACACAGCACACACTACATGCACACGCAGCACACACTACACACACAGAGAGAGCACACCACACACTACATGCACACACAGCACACACTACACACACACAGAGCACAGCACACACACTACATGCACACGCAGCACACACTACACACACACAGAGAGCACAGCACACACACTACATGCACACGCAGCACACACTACACACACACAGAGAGCACAGCACACACACTACATGCACACGCAGCACACACTACACACACACAGAGAGCACAGCACACACACTACATGCACACGCAGCACACACTACACACACACAGAGAGCACAGCACACACACTACATGCACACGCAGCACACACTACACACACACAGAGAGCACAGCACACACACTACATGCACACGCAGCACACACTACACACACACAGAGAGCACAGCACACACACTACATGCACACAGAGAGCACAGCACACACACACAGAGCACACCACATACACTACATGCACACACTACACACACACAGAGCACACCACACACACTACATGCACACGCAGCACACACTACACACACACAGCACACACTACACACACACAGAGCACAGCACACACACTACATGCACACACAGCACACACTACACACACACACAGAGCACCACACACACACTAACACTACACACACACAGAGCACAGCACACACACTACATGCACACACAGCACACACTACACACACACAGAGCACAGCACACACACTACATGCACACGCAGCACACAGTACACACAGCAACAGAGCACAGCACACACACTACATGCACACGCAGCACACAGTACACACAGCACACTGCACATACAGCCCACTGATGCCCCTCGGTGGGAATGAGCCCACGAGAGCAGAACAGCATGAGCCCTGCCCTGGGGACACCCCACCCTGGGGACACCCCACCCTGGGGACCCGCCGGGATGCTGGCTTGCCCTCTGCGTGGACGAGGCTCGCTGTGTGCACCCTGGCTTCTCACCTGCGGCCCACTCTTGGTGTCGTAGCTGGTCCAGAAGGCAGCAGAGAAGTTGGCCATTATACACGCTGCCCCACTGCCGTCTCTCACCACGAACATCGCCGACGCCCCGTGCAGGAGCCCTGCCAGTGCTGGGGAGACAGACACGCTCAGTCTTCTGCGCACACGCTGGGCACCTCCACGCTCTGGCTAGCACATCACGGACTTGACTAGAAGACCCCACCTCGCTGCTTTTCTTGAGACTGATTATTGCCATAGGGCGCATGCACTTGCTAGAGACAGAAAGCGAGAAATCACCCCCAGGGGGGATGGTCACGCCGCAATCCCTTCTCCATTCTCCTCTCGGGATCTTGGGCACGCACGCACACGCGCCCGGCGTATGCCCAGCCTGAGTTTTTAAGATGCTGAGTCCAAAACTCAAACCACAGGCCACCTCACGGGAGTCGAGCGACATAACCGTTGCATCATCTGCTGGTCTCAGAGCTCTGACACCGTAGGAACGGCACGGTTCGGGGAAAACCCACCCCAACTTCTCCAGTAACTGAGACACTGGCGGGGAGACAGGCCTCTGGGCCGCAGTCCTCTGCGCAGAGCCAGCACACCATCTCCCCAGGGTGCAGAGGAGCCTCGGCTGCTGTCAGGACAGCCCTGGGACCTGCCCCAGCGCAGCCTCACTACCCAGTGGCACCGCCACTACCCGGCGTCCGGCCCTGGGCTCATCCTGGCGCAAGCTGTGTGCACGCGCCTTCCGCTCTGCACAGCAAGGCCGGCCCTGGGCCACGCGTCCCTGACAGGAAGCCGCACACCTGCGCCCGACCGTCGCCAGGCACCTGGTGACTCAGCCGTCACTGGGATGGCCCTCACAGACAGACACAGCCCTGCCCCCTTTCACAGAGGTGGGGCAGGCAAGGGAGCAGCGGATGTGTCACACGGCTACTGTGGGGGCAGGCCAGGTCTCAGGAAGACTGTGGGGGCAGGCCAGGCCCCAGGGAGCGCCCCCCCCCACAGCGCTGCGGGGCTAGCTGCAGCCAGGCGCCCTGTGCACAGCGAGGCCGCTCCAGCACGAGAAGGAAGATGCTTCCCTAAGGAGCGCGCGCCGGGAGCACGCCAGTACGCTGCCTTGAGAACTGCTAGTAGACGCCCATCTCCTGGTGTCTTCACTCTCCAACCCAGTACTCCTTTTAACTAGACACCAGGGCCAAGGGGGCCGGAGAGCCGGCTAAGGCCGCCGCAGACACTGCAGTCTCAGGCAGGGCCAGGGCCGCCCTTCTGCAGGGCTCGGCCTGTCTGCACAGAGCACCCGCAAACGGAGCTGCACCTGGTGACAGAGTGCACGGCAGAGCCGCGTCGGGAGCGGACGCCGAAGGCCAGGCCACAGCACAGTGACCGCTGGTCTGCAAAGAACCCAGTGTCCCCCCGAGAACTCGCCGATGCCCACCATGGAGGGTAGCATTAACCAGCACCCACCTGAAACTCCCTAGTGACAAGATCACCTGGAAGTGAGGGCGGCCACAGCAGGCGTCGATGACGCAGTCCCGGCAGGTCACCGCGGCCCACCCTGGCTATCAGAGCCGGCAAGCGCGACAGCAGCACCCCGCAACTTTATTTACCCGTTTTCTTTTTTAAGTTTCTAGTCTCACTATGCAAGGCCCTCCTCTCCCCATCTCCCAGTCCCAGCCCGGCTAGGGTGTGGGTGCCGGTGCACACTGCCTCCTGGTGGCTTTCGGCAGCAGCGCTTTCTCCTACTGTGCCCCACAACCTGGGCCCTCGGCACTCCTGTTCCGAAAATTGCAAACTTAGAAGTTAGGGTTTTTTCAGAAAAGATACTTTTTGAAGAACTGTGGGTTAAAACACTCATTTTAAACAGACCTAAATTCAAGCTATTAAAGCATCCTTTCACAGAGTTAGATTTTTTAGAGAGGTTTTTGCTATAGGGGGAGCATGCGTTTGCCAGACAGCAAGAAAGAGGGACAGAAAGTTAGAAACCACCCGGGGTGGGGGCCACACCACAATCCCTTCTCTTCCGTTCTCCTCTTGGGATCTTGGGCACGCACGCATGCGCACACATCACCAGGTCTGGGACCCGAACCATGGTCAGCGACGTAGGAGTCCAGCGACAAAACCATTATGCCAAGTGCTGGTCCTCCAGAAACATTTGAGAGTAAAATGTAAGAGAATCACAGGAACGAGGGGCGATGCCGAGCTGGTACCCCCGAGCTGTCACGACTGGGGACAGTCGTTCTCAAGACGACTTTCAAAACATGAAACCGAAGAGCTTAGCTCAGGCCTCCACCGGCGGCTCCCAGGGGCAGCCCTGCTCGGCGGAGCCAGGATCCAGCCCGCCCAGCAACTCTCCGAGTCCCGGGCCCGGGCTTCCCGCCCGGACAGACACACCTCGGGGCGCGTCTGCAAAACCAGAAAGGAGCCAAGTCCGCCCGGTGCCGTCCGGGGCGCGGAGGTGGCGGAGACGGCCAGCGACCGCGTCCATGCGGGCCTAGACCTCGGGCCTGCGCTGCCATCGCGGCCTGTGCCCCGCCCGCCCGCCCCCG